ACTTCGGTAACACCATTTACTATGTCATACCGCTGGAGTCAACCAAGATAAGGGGAGAGATAAATATTTTTATAATTACATCAACAGTCTTAGAGCTCAGAAATAATGATTTTCAATTATAAATTTGATTAGAAGACAGTTGCACAGTTTAAGTAGCAGATTATGAAACGCATTCAAGCTACACGTCAACGCACATGATAACACCCTAAATGCAACTCTTGGTAAATTTCACCTTTGTGTACAATGGTTGATACAATTTTTGGTATTTGGCTTCGAGAGCTGCTCTCTCCTCAAAAAATTTAGCCTCTAATTCATCATGTTGACCCTGTAAAATTCAGAAAAAATAATAATCCCAAATAAAAAATCAAGCACACACAATAAGGAGGAAACTCCAAAACACCGAAAAGTTATCTCGTCAATCAATACAAAACCTTAAATGCAAATAACAACACTTCCCACCAACCCCAGGCAAGGACATTTCGATCAAGAACTACAATTAACATATAACAGGAACAAAAAATTCAAACAACCTATGCCTCGAGCAAGCTATTATACCTGGATTTCTCTAAGAACCTCAACACGCTTCCTGACGTTAGGTGACAACGACTCGAGAATGTCGGAGTGCTGCCCAGCCAAACTCTGTATCTTGCTCTGAGCAAAATTAAACATTAAAAATTTCAGAAACAATAAAAATAGCCATATTCAGCATGTAAAAATCGAGAAATTCAAACCTTAATTTCAGATTGAGATATAATAATATGATTATTAGTAGCAACTGCAGTAGTGAGAAAAAGGATAATACTAACCTTAAGAGCATTGACAAGGTCTGCTCGATTTTCCTCGTTGAGAACTTCGGGGGGAAATTAAGAACAATAAAATATCAAACGCATGAACCACGAATAAATTAAAAAATAAAAAGAAGAGAGAAATGGATGGAGTACCAGAGGAGAGATCGGCGACGTTGAAGGTATCTTTGTCGTTGCTCATTGCAGAGACGAAACAAAAGCGTAGTTGAATGAGAAGAAGCTAAAACCCTAGAGAAGAAACTGATGAAGAAGAAGAAAAAGCAGAGAGGGTTTGGTTGTTGCTAAACGTGGCCACCCTCCAATCCTCTTTTCCTCTCCTTCTTTTCTCAACTTGAATATGCTCTCTATTTATTGCCTAGGGCTTCCTCTTTTCTTTTTTTTTTTCTTTTCTCGCTTTGTCGGAACGCTTTATGGGGGCCCAACCAGCTTCATCTGCTTCCTGAGGTATAATAGGCCCAGCTTACAAAACCTAATCAATATACTTTTTTTTTATTTGTTTCTGGACCCAAAAAATAAAATATTTATTTTTTATTTCTCTATTATTATGCAATAAAATAATGGAGGTCCATTATTGCGGTTTTCTATTTTCTCCAAGCTGAATAATTTTATATATGCATGTTCGATGAAGAGTTAGGCTGTTTAGGCTACTATTCTTATTACTAATTCCTAATAAGAGAAAAGAGGGAATAAAAAAAAATACAATTAATACTGATATCTTTAATAATTTTACTGGTTTTTGTCAAAAGAAATGCTTCTATATAATTTAAGTGTTAATTAATAGATAATAGTCATTTATGTGTCAATATCATAGTACTATTTTAAGATATAAACTGAAAACTATGATTTATAGTAGAGTTAATTATACTCAATATAATATTTTAATTATCTTAATTTTGAAATATTTTTAGACTTTTTCAGATTCCTCTACCGTATTATAAAGTTGTGTTGAAGTAAATAATATCTTTAATTGTGGATTTAATTGATATGTACTTACTCCTATTTTGGGAGATCCTATATATTGAATTTTATGTAATAATCATACAGTAAAAATGAGGTTTAAAGATGAATTTTTATTTAAAAAAAATAGAGAAATGATTTTAAAAATGAATCATCAATATCATTTGTGAGACCGAAAACTACTATAAAGATGAAAAGCTTATTCCAAAATGCTGTATTAATTTTTGAAAACTACTATCATATATTTTAAAAAAACTTGTTATAAAAATCATATTTTGAAAAGCTTATTCCAAAACGCTGTATTAATTTTTCCTCCCACTGTTCCACTGTGTTTATATATAATTCTTGAATTATAAAAACACTTCCCAACTAAACTTTTCTAAAAGAAAAGAAAGTTTCGGATTAATTTAAAGTGAAAAAACTTAATCTTGGATTATAATAAAACATAAATTAATTTTTTTGTTACATTTTAAATTACGTAATTTAATATTATTTACTTTCAACAATAATTAATATTTTAGATTATAAAATTCAAAATAATAAAAATAAATAAAAAGAGATTATACAGTCTAAAATGTAACACCAAAACTTTTAACTAAATTTGGAGTTTTCCAACAAAATTGCGTGGAGAGGTACTTTTAAATTTTTCTATACCTTAGGAAGTGCATTAGGAAACCATGGGGTGCAGGAAGAAAGAGCCCTACTAAAAAGATTTGGAAGTGCGGGGAAAAATGGTTGGAGGTGCAGGGAGAAATGCCCTTTCTTCTTTCTTCTCAGCTCTGCCTCAACAACACCAACGATCCTCACTCTTCTGACTGTGGTGGAATGGAATGGAACCAAAAAGGGAGGGAAATCAAACAAAACAAATAAAACCCTAAAAACAGAAAAAAACTTTTGTGTTGTGCTGTGAGACTCACTTTCGTTCCATGAAGTCCCATTCCATTTTTATTGGAATTCCTCTCTTCCTTTGAACCTCCCAAAGTTGCTTCCATGGCGAGGCTGCTTCGTAACACTTCCCTTCTCACACGCTCGCTATTCGTCCCTAAGGTTTGTTCCTACGCGCCTTTTTTTTTAGCTATCTCATGATTTTGTTTATGCTCTTTGATCGTTTGTTTTTGATAAATTGTTGTCACCAAAGACATGTTACAGTTTTATCTTTTTTCTTTTGTTTTATGCATTATTCTCGTTTTATGGATTCTGATGACCTTTTTATGTCACTTTTTAATTTCTTTTGTTATTTATGCATTTTTAAAGTAATACGTGCATTCATGGGGACCGAAGTCAGAGGAATATTTGCCCTCTAACAAAAGGTAAGGAAAAAGAACTAGCATTGGCCGTTTTGTCAGTCATGTTCATGACTATGCATATAACCAACCGTTTCCCTCGCTTTTTGCATCTTCTTCCTACGTTTCTGATTGACGCTATTTTGCCGAATAATCAGTTCTTGCTTTCATTTGCAGAGATTTGAGCCGGGATTATTTGGCACTTCTCAGATTTTGAGCTTTTCATCTAAAGGTCTGTCCAAGTTCTCTTGCTTTCTTTCCTTCCCTTCATCTGAATCCAAAAGTTAATCAGTTGCAGTAGTTTATTTATGCTGAAAGGTTATGTACGCCAATCAACGCCGAAAATAGATTATCACATTCTTTTGAAAATTTTAGATATATTCTTGAAACCAAGTCTTTATTGCTGGGGTAATCGCCTTATAAGGCTTATACTGTAAACAAATTATAGCAATCATGCTATGGACTGGGCTCGGTAAGTCCAGTTAAGCTCATGATACTTTTGGTGAATCCTCATAATGAGGCTCGACGAGGGAATTGTTTAGGTTCTTTATAATTTTTGCATTCAAGTTCTTTGTATTCATGTGCTGAATCAAACCAAAACGAAAGTTTATACCTGTTCGCTGCATATAAGTTACAATTGATAGAAAATAGTATAGTGTTTCAGATCATTATCCTCCAGTTTCCTATTATCTCTGATGTTTGAAGTTCGAATATATTTGAACTTGACAACATTTTTCATTCCTATATACCTAAAGGTAGAAGGCGCTCCAAATCTGATGGAAGTGACTCTGGTGAAGAAAACATGTCCAAGAAAGAGTTGGCCCTTCAGCAAGCTCTGGACCAAATCACTTCTGCATTTGGAAAGGGATCCATCATGTGGCTTGGTCGCTCTGTCTCACCAAAAAATGTGCCTGTTGTGTCTACAGGTTCTTTTGCTCTTGATATAGCACTAGGAATTGGTGGTCTTCCGAAGGTATGCTTTGATCCTTGCATGAAGAGGTTTCTTACTTATTTGTTATATGTGAATAAACCCTGAACCATTTCTAATACACAAACTTCTGGATACTGATGACAAACTTTCCTGTTTTCCCCCAATTTATGTCCATAGGGACGTGTTGTGGAAATATACGGGCCAGAGGCTTCTGGAAAAACAACCCTTGCTTTACATGTGATTGCAGAAGCACAGAAGCAAGGAGGTTATATTCATATAATACTTCAACAATGACAATTGTAATGTCTATTTCTTTTGGTTGTAATAGATTCACACTTCTAATATCTGTAGATGTGACCATGACCTCATCATAATTATGGCTGTTACAGAATCAGATCAGATGATTTAATATCTCTGCCCCTACTCTTTATGTTTGCTAGTGATAATTGTGTTGTTTTTTTCCTTGATTTCGTAATGAATGAATTTGTTTCTTAGAGTACCCTTTAACGAATATTTTTTGGAAATGACAAATTGGATGTTTGATTCTACACATGGTTTCTCATTGTCTGAAATACCTGCTTCAATCTCAATACTCCGCCAACAACTTTTTGGTGCTAGACTGCTAGTTTTAGCAGTTTCCCAGCTGCAAATCTAATTTGGTTTCTCAATGTCTAAATTTGGTGCTAGTAGTTTCCCTGTTTCAGATGTGTTCTTCCATTCCATTAGTTTTATTTGAACTATAATTATAAAAAAATTAATAATCAAGTTGAGGAGGTCTACCCACACAATTATATGATTTACTTGTTTATACTTTTGTAGCTTGTTGCTTATCTAGACGTTGATATGGTTATTTGATACAGGTTATTGTGTCTTTGTTGATGCTGAGCATGCCCTTGACAAGAGACTTGCAGAGTCTATTGGGGTGAATACAGAAAACTTGCTTCTCTCCCAACCTGATTGTGGTGAACAAGCTCTCAGTCTTGTGGATACCTTAATCCGTAGTGGTTCAGTTGATGTAATTGTTGTTGACAGTGTAAGTGTGAAGCATGATTGCTTTTGTTTCTCTCAATGCTTTCCCTGTTTCCATAGTAACTCATTTAAGATTATATAGTAAGTGGTAATTCTACTGATATGTTTATCTCTTATTAGATTCATTAAACCGGTGTATCAAGTGGCATACTTTCACGGCCATCTAATAACTTATCGTAGGAAAGTGATTTTAACCAATCACCCTTGAATTAGATCTAGTCATTGTAAAATACTCATCCTATAAAAGTTATTTATTGGTGTAAGTATTATGTTTTTGTGCGTAGGTAGATCCTTGTATATAAATCTTCTTTTGGTGATGCTTATCACCTAGAGATAATTCTGGCTTCCAATATTATGTAGGAATCGGTGTGATTGGTTTTAATATAAGTTCAGGGGAGGGTGAGATATGTAATGTGGAAACTGGAATTGTTCCGGAAGGGATGCATTTGTTACAGTGTTATAGGAACTTGGTTATTATGGGGTGCCTAAGTCTTAGATTGAGTTGTATGCAATGTTCGGTGGAGTATATAAGTGTTTGATTCTCTTTCTTAGCTTTTGAGGGTGGGTTCTCCAAGTGTTTAGGTACTTATCAATTTATATTAGAGCTGGTTGTCAATGTCTCAGAAAGGGCTACCTATTAAGGATTCTAACCAACGAGGGAGTTGATTGAAGTGGATTATTTAAGCATTTGGTTTCCCCCCTCAATAGCTAGCTTTTGAGAGTGAGTTTCCCTAGTGCTTGAGTATTTCTCACATTGACTCATCCAATATTTAGAAGCTTTTCAGTAAAATTATTTTTAATGTTTGGATTTTATCATCTTAAACCCTCATTTGTAGACTTGTTGAGTTTGGTTTTCCAATGGAAAGAATGAAAGGAATTTTAGTGTTCCTCTTTGAACTTTCTCTGTATTTCTCCCTTTTTGTTTAGTTTTTTCTTCTGTATGGTTTATACAATGTCATCAAAATCTTGTTTAATTAGTTTAAATGCACGTCAATTGCCAACTAACATTTTGCAGTCTCTTCATAATAGGTGGCTGCACTTGTTCCTAAAGGTGAGCTTGATGGTGAAATGGGTGATGCTCACATGGCAATGCAGGCTAGGTTGATGAGTCAGGCACTTCGAAAATTGAG